AGCCTCATCTTTAAGATTCACCTCCCTAGACTCTGCGGAGTGGGTGTGGTTCATAAGGCTCTTTGGGATGTTGCAGTCTGTCATATTACAGCATGATAAAATGTATTTGGATTATTCACAGCATATTTTAGGAGAGCCTATTTTTTAATGTTTATATTCAACTAAAATGGAGAGCAGTCTACTGTCTCTTAAATCAGGGAAAGAGAGGCTATTGCCAGATGAGCCAATATGCTGCACAACAGGCAGCAAAGAATTTTCTCTAATTTATCATTTGATGCTTGGCCTGAACCTGGGTGTGTTCCACACATGTTCCTATTTTGGGGGATGCTTCAGACATATTCCTGTTCTTCTGTACGAAATGTTTGCCAGTATATTCTTTTTCTCTCTTAATATTTTATAGCCAGAGGAATAGAGCAAATACAGACAATTCTCAACTTACAACAGTTCTTTTAGTGACTGTTCAAAGTTACAATCGCAACATCCCCTGATCACATGATCAAAATGTGGATGGTTGTGTTGTGACCTAGGCTTCCTGAGAAAGCATATATCACAATCTTAGTCCCCAAAAAACTCTTTTATTGAGACGGCTGTGAATTATGGTCATTCACAGCCGGTAATGATTCAGTCTGTGAAGATTCCGACAGATGTCTGCTCGAGTTGACACAGTCTTTCAGGGTAATGTTGATAAGCACCCATCTTTATCTCCCTTGAAACTCTGCCAGAGACCTAATTGTCAATTAGCTTTGCAAGGCCAAACGGAGCACAGAGTCAAATGGACTTCTCAGAGCTTGAATTGATTATATGAACTAATTGCTTCCTGCAAAGGCTCACGATCATTTGCTCCTCTTTTATGTCTTATGGGAGGGGCCAGTCATCTCCAAGCCTTACTCCTGAGTCACCCTTTTTTTTTTCTTAATTGTTCTTGCCTTCTGGCAGCTCTGTGCATGCGCCCACTGGGAACAGGCTCACACTGTTCTTCTGCCTCACTGATGTCAGATTCCAGAGGCTCCAGAGGCAGCACATAACTACCAGATGGCCCTGGCCCCCTTTCTGCCTCCAACGCAGAGCCCTCGTCCGAGCCTTCCCCAGACTCCACGACTGGCCCACATTCCTCCCAACCTCCTCACTGTCCAAATCTGCTGTCAGCTCTGCTGGCCGCTGGCGGGTCACAACAGGTTGGCAATTGACTCATATCTGTGACAGTTGCAATGTCCCCGGTCACATGATCACCTCTTGTGACGTTCTGACAAGCAAAGTCAATGGGGAAGCCAGATTTATTTCACAGCTTAACAACTTCAGTGATTCATTTAAAAACTGTGGCAAGAAAGATTGTAAAATGGGGCAAAACTCACTTAACAAATGTCTTGCTTAACAACAGAAATGTTGGGGTCAATTGTGGTCATAGGTGGAGGACAACCTGTACCAAAAATAAATAAGTAAAAAAACCCTGAACAGGGAAACATAGATGCTTATTCAAAATCTACATATATTAGGAAATGACCTCTTTGAGACACTTTTCCAGAGAATCCTTGTAGATCCCGGGGATCAAACTTGATCATGTCATGTCACGTATTGTGAGGTTTTTTTGCCTTTGCGAAGCCAGGGTGGGCATGGCCTGTTTGTGACGCATCCAGCCCGTGGGTCACCAGTTTGATAGGCCTGTTATAGATGGATAGTAGTCAACCATCTTTCCCCTCTTAATTGTGTGTATGTGTCTATGTAAGAGAGAGAGAGAGAGAGAGAAAAGAAAGGGAGAAATGGAAAACTACATTAAATAAGAAGTGGAAAAAGAGGGAGGGTATCAAATAGAAAATCATCCAATCCACTCTAAATATTTGCCTTTGAGGCAGACTGCCTGCATTTCTAAAAAACACATCTGGAAACATCTATAGCTAACAATTCAAAGGCTTGCCATATTTGTGAAGCAGAAGTCGGAGTTTGGCCTCTGCAAAGCTAAGAGCCAGCCTAATGGGCAAGACATGATCCAGTCTCTATCACAGCCATTAAAAAATTGGGGGGGAAAAAAAACCCTCTCTCTGCCTAAAGAGCTGTTGAGGAGAAGTATTTGTCAGCTGGAAATTATCCTAGTGGCGCCTGCCTGCAATAATTCAAACTCTCTGCAACAAGTCATAAAGTCACTGTACTACAATGGACTAGAGAAATGGAGATGGCAGATTTCCATGTAAATAGGCTAATTCTGCTGGCTGTGAATTGCTTGTTCTTGTCCTAATCCTGCAAATAAACAATGAAACATAGAGATGAAGCAATTATTTGCTGGATTAACCAGCCTTTCTACAAAGAGGGATTTTGTGTTTAAGAGGCATCCAGGATGGGGATCTAATTTGATTTGCAGAGTTGGCAGCAGGGGCACAGATAAATCAAGGGCGGGGAAGGGGGAGGGTAAGTACTCTGCTTAGTTAAGACAATCTATGGCCTTGTCCTTTTGCCTCTTTGGCAGTCAAAACACACACACACACACACACACACACACACACACACACACACACACAGATGGCCGGGTTTAACCACTGCAGTCGCTTAAGGGTATTAATCCACAATAATTCCAGAGGGATTTCTGGATCTTGTAAGGGTTGCTTTTGTGAAGGAAAAGGAACAGTTGTCATAGAACAATACCTGAAATGTAGTGCTGGTAATTGTGGGAAGATAGTTGGAGTCTATTTTGGTTCCTCTATGGCAGAGAAAAACAGACATGTGTTAGTTGTGGGTTATATTGAATATTTGGGAGGGAGAATGAAAACCACATTGAGCAGGGCAATGAGGAAAAGTAGGTAGGGTCACATTACATGGGTAGGCTGAACGAAGATTTTCTGTCTCTTTCCTGGGGTTCTGGGGATGTTGGGGTATTTTTCTTTGCATTTTCTTGTTGCAAAGAATAATTTTAGTATGTATACTGTTACTTCTTTTTGCTTCCTGTAGTGAAACGAGAGTTATTTTAGTCAGAAGTCTAAAGTTTATTTGGAGGAGAAATAAATATAGTTTAAGATCTTGCCACCAACTTCCCAAAATGATAAAGTTGGTTGTTACTTTCAGTCTTATCAGTGTTTTTCTTGGAGTGTAAAATTTTAAGTGTGAGTGTGGGAAAGGATTATTCTGTTCCTCAAGGGAGCAGTATAATTATAAACAAAATAATTAAGAGTAACATTGTGTAGAATTAGTACAAGTTACTTCTGTTTGGAAGTGCATTATCAAACTCAGATCTTATGGGCAGAATTAGAGTTTACAATGTTAGATGAGCCATCAATGTCCCTTTTCTTTTAACATTATATATGGTTGACTTTCTTTTCTTTTTATTTCCCCCTTTTTCCTATCTAGTTTTAAAATTACTCTCCATTCTTCTTAATGTCTGTCACTCCAAGTTTGTTCTTTTTTTCATTTATTACATACATTTCTGTACTGCCCAATTCCTAATCTCCATGAAACTACAACAAAATATAATATCTCAAAATCAATAAAGTCAAACCACTTCTCCAAAGCCCACTCAGACAAAATGGTCTTGTCAGCCTGGTGAACTTCTGGAGGAAAAAGAGTTCACCAAATCTGAGCCATGACACAGGACTGTTTCTGGACTAGCACCTCCTGATCTCTCCCAGAACTGTGACAAGAGCTGGCCATAGGCTAAGGCCAAGTAGAGACTAATTTAAAGTATCAAAGGGGCCGCCAATGGCTCCTCTCCTTCTTAATGAGGAAGTGGGGAGATGTGGGAGACCTTGGGGGACAGGGTGAAGAAATGCTGCCTAGGGAAAGCTCAAATACATGACAGAGTTCCAAAAAGATTCCACCCTCATTTACACTCTGATACAGATGAGAGGGACGCAGTGGCTCAGTGGCTAAAATGCTGAGCTTGTCAATCAAAAGGTTGGCAGTTCAGTGGTTCGAATCCCTAGTGCCACATAACAGGGTGAGTTCCCGTTACTTGTCCCAGCTTCTGCCAACCTAGCAGTTCAAAAGCACGTTAAAAATGCAAGTAGAAAAATAGGGACCACCTTTGGTAGGAAGGTAACAGCGTTCCATGCACCTTTGGCATTTAGTCATGCCGGCCACATGACCACAGAGATATCTTCGGACAGTGCTGTCTCTTTGGCTTTGAAACAGAGATGAGCACTGCCCCCTAGAGTCAGGAACGACTAGCACATATATGCAAGGGGAACCTTTACCGTTACCTTTTACAGATGACCATGAGGGCACAAATCAGTGGTGAAATCCAAATATTTTTATTACCATTTCTGTAGGCGTGGCTTGGTGGGTGTGATGTGGCTTGGTGGGCATGGCTTGGTGGGCGTGGCAGGGGAAGGATACTGTAAAATCTCCATTCCCACCCACTCCAGGGGAAGGATACTGCAAAATCCCCATTCCCTCCCCACTCCTGGGGGAAGGATATTGCAAAATCTCCATTCCCACCCCACTCTGGGGCCAGCCAGAGGTGGTATTTGCCGGTTTTCCTAACTGCTCAAAATTTCTGCTACCGGTTCTCCAGAACCTGTCAGAACCTGTTGGATTTTACCCCTGGCACAGATAAACCCCCAAGTGTCCTCAAGAGCTCTCAGGGAAAATGCTAACAACCAGATGACTGCAAAGAAATATGATCCTTGGAACACCCCACCCCCATCCTGTGGGAACTAATACTTCTATAGCCTGCACCATGCTGCCAGAACCGATGAAACTTCTTGTAGGAGAAGTGAAATGTCGTCTTCTTCTTCCTCAAGGAAATACAACCCTGTTGTCTTTTGAAGAAAACAAAGCACCTTTAAGAGTACCCTTGAGTCATTTCTCTCAATGAATAAATAAGCAAATGTAATGTTCTTGATTTGTTTGTTCAACTAGCTCCTCAGGATCTTGTTTCAGGACTTGTGTGGAGAAAGATCATGTTTTAAGTCATATTTATGCCGAAATATTAAAAAATTCAAAAAGTTCAAAAACATTTACGTGCCACTATGTCAGAGGCTTTCACTTCTGAACAATATTTATTTTTCTACTTCCAGAACGATGCTGGTGGACAACGAGTGCTGGTCAACAAATGGAGCACTTTCAACAAAGCCCGACTTGTGTGTTCCGTTCCAGGACCAGATGGCATTGACACACACTTTGATGAACTGGGTGTGACTTATATTCCATAATAGCAATAGCAATAGCACTTAGAGTTATATACCGCTTCATAATGCTTTTACAGCCCTATTTAAGCAGTTTACAGAGTCAGCATATTGTCCCCAACAGTCTGGGTCCTCATTTTACCCACCTTGAAAGGATGGAAGGTTGAGTCAACCTTGAGCCTGGTGAGATTCGATCTGCCAAACTGCTGGCAGCCGGTGATCAGCAGAAGTAGCCTGCAGTACTGCACTCTAACCACTGTGCCACTGCGGCTCTAATCACAGTTGGTTTGTAGAGGATTAGGATTTACAGTATGGGGAAAGTGGAACCAAAGGAATGACCAGGGGCATTTAATGCTATACTAATCCTAAAATTAAACCAGTGGAGATTTGATCAGAGCTTGATCAAAATCTCTGGGAGTTTAAAGTCAATGATAAATGCTTGTGTTAGGAACTCATAATCTGAGATCCATGGCCTTATGCAGCCCCCCACCCCAATTTGTCTGCAACCTCCATAGAAAAATTTTAATTTTTGGTCTTAGAGAAAGGGGAAATTATTAAATACATGGCTGAAGAGTAATCATATTGATGATGTTTCATTACGTAGAAATGAAATCAATTCTAATCTTATTCTGGCTCTGCCCAACTTTTGGCCCAACTTCTCCAGCAGAGCACCCACAGCAGGGGTGATATTCACTTACCTTTGCTACTGGTTCGCAAATGTGAGTGTGCGCGCCTCCTTCACGCATGCACATGGCCATTTTATGATTTGTGGACTTCAACTCCCAGAATTCCTGAGCCAGCCAAGATATTAGAAAAACTGCTTAGAACAACGTTTGTGTAGAGTGAGTATATTGACAGAACAGTTACAGAACTCATTCGATCATCTACTTTTCAACAGAGGACGTCTTTCTTCTGAGGGCTAAAGATGGCAAGAATCCTGAAGTCTATGCACTGTTTAGCACCATCAGGTGAGATATTTCCGTCTGTGGCTTGTAGTTCTGTCTGTAGTTACTTTTAAGAGTGAATCTTTTAAAAATGTCCTTAATAATGAGTTTATAATATAGTTTGCTTTTTCTCCTATTCGTCTTCAGTCAACTTCAGTAGGATTCATACAGTTGAAATCAAACATATGAATTATGTTTTTACAAAAACTGTAACCTTCTAGGCATTTATTTACCTAAAAGCATTTTTTTTCTTTCTGAATTGCAGCCTCGAGAGATAACAAGCAAATCTCAATGACATTTAAATCTTGTGTTACAAGCAATATTTGGGTAAATTTTTCTCATTACAGCAATGTCTTCCAAGGCTTCGCCATCTGTGTCTATCGTATGGCAGACATCTGGGAGGTTTTTAATGGACCATTTGCTCATAAAGATGGTCCTGATCATCAGTGGGCAGCTTATGAAGGCAAGGTGCCTTACCCAAGGCCAGGAGTTGTAAGTATAAGAATAAAGATGATGATTTTCCTGAAAAAGAAAAGAACAATGTATAGGAAGAGCAATTTGCCATAAAACAAAGAAATTAAAAAAATAACATGCAAAATAATGTTTTGTGTGATTATCTAAAGCTGCCAGAACTATTCACGTCAGTGGAAATGACAAAAAAACAATTTCCTCAACTTCTGGAATAAATTTTGCAAGCATGGGAAGAATCAAGGAACATAATGAAATGGGGGAAAGAGTTGGCTTTGATTCCTGATAAATAGTATGAACAGAGCTAAATGATTTCCTTTTTCCTAGTGCCCCAGCAAAACCACCAACCAGCCAAGTCGTCAGTACTCCTCCACCAAAGACTACCCAGATGAGGTACTGCAATTTGCACGTGCTCACCCCCTGATGAGCAAATCTGTGTATCCAATACAACGGCGGCCTGTGCTGGTGAAAACCAACCTGCAGCATCGCCTACGGCAGTTAGTAGTGGACCGTGTGGAAGCTGAGGACGGGCATTACGATGTCATGTTCATTGGCACAGGTACAGGGTTCATCATGTGATGTATTGGGGTTCAGAGGTACCTGAACATCTCTCTACCAAACTGCATATACCATATATGGAGTTAATTCTCATTATGTAGAAGAATTTGTGAGTTTGAAGAGGATCTCCTGATTTTTCAAATCTTCAGACTACATCCTGACATTGAAAAGGGGTCTTGGGTAAAATGCTGATAATTGGACCAGCCAATTTTGACCAATTTGTGAAGCAGTTAGAACTACACTGTGACCACCATGAGCTGCTGTGAATGATTTGGCATTTTTTTGCACTATAGGATGTTTGGCCTATACCAGCAAAATAGAATATTTTCAGCTTTTACTTATTCAGGATAGAAATGGTGAAGGAGATGGATGGATTTGAGTGAGTCACACATGTGTTTTCTTCAGGGAAAATACTTCTCAGGGAATCTCCAATTACAGTATGGTGTGGGAGGGATGTTCAAATTTGTCTCCCATTAAGGCTCCTTTCTTAGAAATTGTGTCCTTTTGCTTGTTGTATTTCAAAATGTAGGCCCCATTCAACGGTGAGAAAAACAATAGCTTGGCAAACTACAAGAAATGTTTTCCAAGTCAAGGTCGGAGAATGAGGGGAAAAAAATGAACTGGTTAAATTACCATTTCACTTTTTTAAGGTGGAAAGTTGAGCATTGAAAAATAGTTACTTTTTAAATTAGCATTTCTCCAATAACTTTTAAATGTAAAAGATTCAGGGACAGAAAGAATAAAGATGATTCAGGGATGCAAAGGAAAGATCCAAAATCACTTATTAGTAGCATATTGTATCTTGTAGTGTAAAACTAGGAGTCAGATTCTAGGCTACTTGCTGTTCAAGAGCAGCTTTTGAAAAAGTTCCCAATGAGTTTTGCCAGGATTTTAGGCGACCCCAGGGATGGCCTTATTTCCATGCACTTTCTCTCCTTCCTCCCTTTTAGAGGCTGGCTCCATATTGAAGGTCATAGCCCTACAAAGAGGAAATTTTGCTACTGTTGAAGAAGTTGTTTTGGAAGAGCTTCAAGTGTTTAAGGTGCAGTAAAAAAAGCAGTATATGTGTGAGCCTCATGTATATAGATCAGCAAAGGAGCAATCCTGGCTGGCTAATTTTGATTATATTGCATATTGCTTGGCTTTCACTGTTTTCTTGCATAGTATTTACATGTGTTCCTCAGACAAAGTCTTACAGTATCAGTGGGCACGTGTGCAGTAATAATCATACATGGACCAATCCTGGTTGGTCCAGGATCCCGGCTAGCTAATTTTGATTAAATTGCACATTGCTTGGCTTTCACTGTTTTCTTGCATAGTATTTACATGTGTTCCTCAGACAAAGTCTTACAGTATCAGTGGGCACGTGTGCAGTAATAATCATACATGGACCACTTTTGTGCCTGATTACTACCGGTACTTAGCTATATAATTCCAAGTTTGTAAGGTGTTTTATGAAGACAGTCATCATCCTGAACACAAAAGATACCCCATTTCTTTTTTAAAAAATCTGTATTAATTAGAAGCCTATCTTGGAAAGTGAAAAATTGTATTTTATGAATCCAGATATGTATGTATATATGTATACATACACTACATAAAGGAGTTATGATAAAAGTAGCCATAATATGAATACTGCAGTAATTATTTAAGCCTGCTTTTAGTCTTGGTTTCCTATGTGGCTAATGAACTTTCATGGATAATGGGACCTTGCCCTGCTTTTTAGATAGCCCAAGAACCTTACTTGTTGGAATTTGCCATTTTGTTTGATCTGATCCAGTTTTTCTCAGGATAAAAGAGAAAAAGACCATAGAAGGTATACTTATTTATACTTATAACTATTGAATAACCTGGGAAAGAGACTGGTTGTATACCTCCATTAGCCCTAATTTTCAGATTTAATGAAAGTTTAATTTTCAAATGAGTGATTTGTTCAACTGCCATTTGTGTGCACACATTTGTTTTTGTGAGAAAATAGCTGGGACAATAATGACCGTCTATGACTATTAAAAATACATAAATGTAGAGTCATAGGATAGGTTGGGAGTCATTTTGGTGACATACTTTAGCTGAATCACCATGTCTTCATGTCCTCCAGGTACCAGTCCCCATCACTGAGATGGAAATTTCTGTGAAACGGGTAAGTAATAAATGAATTATAAAAATAAATCATCCACGTCTATCCGTTTGTGTTTTTACTATAAAACTCAAATTAATATTTAAGCTAACTTTCACTCTTTCATTCCCTCCAACAAATTTTAGTTTTCCAAAATATTTCTCCTTTATTCTATTGGTTGAATTTCCTGCAGCATTGTTATAGATGAATTTTAAAAATCTTAAATGTTTACTAAAGGAAATTGGACAAAAAAAGTAATAATTAATTCATTAACAAACAAGGTTTCTTCAGAATGTAATGCAGTGTTTGAATGGATTTGACATAGAGAACTTGCTGCTGGGACAAATGGTAAACACAAACTCAGAAACAGTTTGAACAAAAATTGCTATTCAAAAATGTAAAACCCAAAAACCACTTTATAAAACCCTGTAGAAAATTATGAAGGTTAAGAGTTTAATCTAGTCATAGGGAACATGACTTCCTAATTACCAATGTATTAGAGTTAAATTTAGATAATAATATAACCTACACTCATCTTTGTCATTTAATCCTATATTAAATCTTTAATGAAGCACCAAAATAACATTTATTTCAAATTTTAATAATTTTTAAAGAAAATTATGCAATTATTCATATTTGGCAATTACTGATAATTTAAGATAGGAATCTATGAAAGTATCAATATTAATACATAAATCAGATAATCATGAATATATAAATAAGATCAGTATAATTGAAAATGAATCATCATCTGCAAATAAATTAGATATAGAAATCAAGAATATATTGGCAAAATACAGTAAGCAGGCTGGCAACGTGTATATGAACAGTTAGAAAAGTAAAAGAAAAAGAAAAAAGAATAAGGTATTTTGGAGATGAATAAAGTCACCACACAGCTTGTACATCTAAAACAAAAATATTATGAATACAATAATACAAATCAAGATAAAAAGATTTTGAAAAATCACTTAAGGTCAAATTGTTACCAGACTAAAATATTAATGATTAATTTATGATTTTTTGAAAAAAATAAATACCTTCAGGCAATTCTATTGCAGATGAAATTAATGATAATCTAAATTACAAATGTTATAGTACTGAATGGCAATCACCAGGATCAGACTCAGTAAGGAATTTTAGGAACAATGCAAGGATACTTAAATACAAGAGTTCTTATTAATATGTAATTTACTCAGGGGTGAAATCCAGCAGGTTCTGACAGGTTCTGGAGAACCGGTAGCGAAAATTTTAAGTAGTTCAGAGAACCGGCGAATACCACCCCTGGCTAGCCCCAGAGTGGGGAGGGAATGGGGATTTTGCAGTATCCTTCCTCTGCCATGCCTACCAAGCCATACCCACAGAACCTGTAGGGAAAAATTTTGAATTTTACCCCTGAATTTAGTTTTACTTGAAAAACTACAAGATGAATGCGCTGAGGAAACAGAATGGCAAACTGTCATTTTACAGGACCTGGGGGGACTATATTTTATAAACAATAATAAGTCATTTTCTGTCAACCCAGGGGATATGAGGAAATCATAATGTGATCTGTAATGAGACAATGTGGATACTAAATTAGTAAAGTGCCAATCCAAATGTTGATTGTTTAAACTAAAAATTAAAAAATAGGAACAAAAAACAGGTGCTTTATGGGAATACGGTGGTAATAAAAACAGCTTTCAATCACCACCATGCCTGAAGTCCAACAAAACACTTCCCAGATTTTAGATTATTGTAGACTGTGGTGATTTTTGTTGAAAGTTAGCTAGAGTAAAACAAATGCAATAAAGATATTAAGTTCTAATGAGGCCAAGGAAAGTTCAGATACCCATTCCAAAAGAATCTCTGACTTCACAGCAAACATTTATACCCAAACGGGGGACCATTATAATATAATTTATCTTCCTCCAATTTAGCATTATCCAGCTCTGTTGAATTTAGTAGCCATAATCTCAGATAGACTGGGAATCCTGTTTGTAAATCATGGGTTGTGTAGTCCAATATTTCAATGGGCCCTACATTGGGGAAAACATGTCCCTGCTTTATAAATAGCGGACAACTTCCCAATTATTCTCCAATAGTCATTGATATGCAAATTAGAAATACAAAATCATTATTTAAATCACGAATTTCTATTTTAAATCTGATCTGTGAAAAATGTTAGCTGTAGTTTGATACTGCAGATATTAATTATCTCAAGGCATATGTAATGTGGCTTCTTTCTGTATGTCTTGACTTCTAAAACCTCTGACGTTACTGAGTAGGTTTTCTTTGACATGAACGTATATAGATCAGTTTCAATTCTGAATGGCCATAAATAATGTCATAACATATCCAGGAAACTGTGGGAATTCCAAAGCCATTTAATTTTATTGCTCTTCCAAATGCTGTAATTTAAGAAGGTTGATGACACAGCTGCGTATATTTTCACTCAGAGGACCAAAATTCAGTAGAAAAAGGAAGACAGCAATTTAGATCAGGAAAATATAGCGCGGGGTGGAGGTGGGGGGAAGAGACTGAAGAGTCCTTTCCCAGTGCCATTGTTCCCATGAAATTTGACACTTCTGCACTTGTTTCTACAGCAAGATGGCAGGTGTGGCATTTGCCGTCTTTACTTGTAAAAAGTTCAGCATGATTTTGGCAGTGGTTTGTCTCCAAGCTTGTTTCAATTTAGTTTCAGAACATTTCATTATCAGACTAGGTAACATCATCAGCAGGATTTTCTTGTCCTATTCTCCTTTAGCTTATAAATGTCTTGTGTGCCAGTTTGGTCAGTTGGTAATGTGATTGGTTGTTCGTTTGGAGCTATATTTAAATTCTGAGCAGCTGATTGGTTCTCTTGTTGATTGGTCCTGTGTTCACTATATATCAGTGATCAGTAGGGTAGCTTAGAAAAAATAGTTCAGTCAGGATCTGCTCCCTAACTTTCTCCTAAAGGAGCAAAAATTTCCAGTTCCCCATTTCACAGCAAAAGGAAAACTGCCTCTCACTGTTTCCTATGTCCATATTACTATTATGGGAACTTAAGATAAAGCAAGGGGTGGGACGAAAAAATAAAAATAAATTATCTAGATTGCCTAGACATCATTTGTTTTTTGAATTTAAAAACGTATCTAGAACAAAAGCCAAGTTTGTGGCAGGGCATTTCTTCCAGGACCTGTAAGAGTTTTGGGATGGGAAGTGGGTGAGAAAGGGAAATAAACACATAGTTGAGGATGTAGGAATTGACCCTCAGTGGTATGGGAGAAGGAATGAGTGAAGGCTCACTTGAGCCCAGGAAATGAGCCAGGAGGTTGCCTCCCCCCCTCACAATTCCCACTCAGCAGCAGCGCATTCCAGCAAACACTACACATGTATTCCCATTTTACTGAACCAAAATACTGCTAGGAGTAAGGCAGCCTACTCTCCAAACAAGCCAGTCTCCTGAAATTAGGCAGGTTTGGGGTTGGCTTCAAGTAGGGTCAGAATCATCATATGGAGGTGCTTTTAGCAAGCTAAACTCTAGTTTTCTGAAAATTGCCGAGGAAATTCTGATAGAGACAAAAGATGTCCCAGTAGAAGAGAATATCTGTAGCTCAGAGTTGAAGTGTGGAGTCCTGGGTACTTTCTCTGAGCATGGTTATTTACTTGCAGACATTTCATTACCCAACCAGGTAATATCATCAGTGTTAGTGAGTGGGAGGTTTGCTCCCTGTTTTAAAAAAATGCCCACCAATTTCACTGTGTGCTTTATTCCCTTCATCAGCATGAGGCTGCTACTAAAATACCAGCTCCAAGGTGATTTGGTGCTCCTCTGATTAACCCTGCTTTGGCTTGCTTTGACAGCAAATGCTTTACGTGGGCTCACGGGTCGGTGTTGCCCAAGTGAAACTGCATCAGTGTGAGACTTACGGGACCGCCTGTGCAGAATGTTGCCTGGCACGAGACCCGTATTGTGCCTGGGATGGTCTCACTTGCACCAGATACCAGGAATCGGGCAAACGTCGCTTTCGCAGGCAAGACATCCAGAATGGGAACCCCATGCACCAGTGCTTGGATCAAAACCTAACAGGTGAAGAAACTTGGGAATATATGTTTAGAGCAGTGGGGCAGAATGGAATGGCTTTTGTGGAGGGGTACCTGCCATATTCTTGGCTTTCAAGAACACTGGAGAGTGTGAACATGGCAGCATTAAGATCAATTACAAATAGGTAAGAGGCCTGCTGTGTTACCACTAATAATGACCTTTGTGTACATAGAAACAGACATTTTCACAGGGACATGGGTCAAATTTTTGCTTTGGACAGCACCTATTTTATGAAAACAAAAACAGAAAACCATAATCTTCACTGGAATATGGGAAAGAGAAGAGACCTTGGAGTCTTTGGCATCTTGAATTAATCCTGCAAACATTCTGGCATTTTGATTCAGTACTCAGTATTTTGGATGGGGAATAAATATCTTTCTATACCAAAAGAGCAAAGTATCAGGTTGGACCCAGGCTTCAAACCCATTCCGACCTCCCGCATGTTCAGAAGCAATCCTGGACCATTGTAACCCCTTTTATAGAAATGGGTGATTTCCAAATGATTGATCTTTGGTAATAGCATATAGAAAGAATAGAATAGGAATAGGAATAGGAATAGGAATAGGAATAGGAATAGGAATAGGAATAGGAATAGGAATAGGAATAGGAAAGGATAGGATAGGATAGGATAGGATAGGATAGGATAGGATAGAATAGAATAGAATAGAATAGAATAGAATAGAATAGAATAGAATAGAATAGAATAGAATAGAATAGAATAGAATAGAATAGAATAGAATAGAAAGGGGCATTGAAGATCTAGTCCAACCCCCTGCTCAGGCAGGAAACCCTATACCATTTCAGACAAATGGTTGTCCAATCTCTTCTTAAAAACTTCCATGTTTGCATTTTTGTAGTGGATGACTTTGACAGCATTGAGGAGAAGGTGGTGTATGGGACGGAGCACAACAGTACCTTCTTAGAGTGTATCCCCAAGTCACCCCAAGCTGCAGTGCAATGGTTTGTACGTAGATCTCCACAGGAGCTAAGAGATGAGGTGAGGCACTCTTGCTTTTGTTTTCTTAATGGCAGTTTTCTTTATATGTTCTCCCTCTAAGTATATACAAACTTATGCTCTCTCATGTATATACGAGTCATCTTAGCACATTATTGTTCCTGCTGCTTCTGTCGCATAAGTACCACATTTTTTTGTCTTGGCTGTTTTCTTACAACAGATATTGGTTATGTAGAGCATTGTGGGGGTCTGGGAGACCTTTATTTACAAAATTTCAGTCTGCAATACAGCTGTAAATGCTGAGGATCTCTGCCAAATGTACCCCTTCCCATTCTGTTCCATGTCTGTGAATAAAATTGCCTTCTCTTCAGGCTGTAAATATATATGGAGTTCTTGGTTACTGAAGATAAACTGATAAGAAAGGTCTCTGCAACCTCTTCCAGTCATAAGGCAGAGCTACTCTTGCATCTGGTGGTGATCTGCTCTCACTCCTCAATCTGATTTTTTTTAAAAAAATTCTTGGCTCTATCTGGGCTAGGGGAAAAAAGTGGTTTGTATCCGGACTTGAATAAAACAAAATAGATTATCAAGTAACTGAGCCTACTAATATAAAGCATTTTCGTCTCTTGATTTGTACCTCCTTTTCAAGGAGGCAATACAATAGCTTGGAATGTCTTCTGTCAATAAACTACTCATGGCCATCATTGCCAAGACAGTGGTCCAAAGAGAAGCAAGCACAGTTCTTATGGATCCTACCAAATGTAAGATGGATAGAGCTTAAATAACATGAAACAGCTGTTGTGGGCCTTCAAGTCTTGGAAGTTATTTTTATAGCTGTTCCCCACACCCCAGCTCTGATAATATGGGTATGTGAGTTGTTTAAGACTTTACTAACTGACCCTGAACTCCTTGAGGCATTCAGTGAGTTTGCTAAAACAGCTGAATTGATTACTGATGCAATCGCAGTCTATGGCAACCAGAGTGTTAATTTGCAGATGGCTGGGGTTCAGACATTGGCAAATTGACCATCAGTCAAGAGCTACTTTGGCAGGCAAGCCCTCTGTGGAGAAGAAATTGTTTGGGAAGATTATTGTTGTGATGTTGGTGGAGAGTATACTAAGCAGAGGTACTTGCCATCTGCAGCTAAGAAGGAAAATGCCATATACTTAAAAGATTGATTGCCTTTCAGGCTAGAAAGTAATATTCTAGCTTTTCTTCCTACTGGAAGAAACCAAGGAAATAGACATTGGGGACCTCAGGAGTATCAACACAAGTATTCCAGCAACAGCAGTTGAAGTAAAGGAGAGAAAATGAGGAATGAAGAACTCTTAATTCAGAGCTCATTGTAGGAGTGTGTGTGTGTGTGTGTGTGTGTGTGTGTGTGTGTGTATGTATGGGGTATTCTCAAAATGTTTGGACCTCTGGGAATGGACCTATAGGGACAAGTCCTGGTCAAGGATCAACGGAGGTGGGGGTGGGTTTCTTTTTCTGCCTATCTTCTGGTGATCAGAATGACACCTCACAAGAAGTGTCATTCTCTGCTGACATGTTTTGATGTTCAGATCCACTGAATTCTAGTTCCATTAAACTCCTAATAAGGATACTTTATTATCTATTGCTTGACTATTCAAAAATAAATTTTATCCTAAATTCATAGGTGACCAAGGAAAGAGATGTCCTTCAGAGGTTATTTTTTGAATTTTATGGTGCAGTTCTCAGATAAGAATTATTTGGTAATAGATTGGTGATAAAGGGTATATATTTTAGGGCAGTGAAATATCTGAGAAAATGCTTTGACAGAAAATACTTTCAGAGTCATTGTTTAAAGTGTTATGCATATATTATTTTTTCATTGCAAATTCTTTAAAAAAATAATACACAAAAATGTGGGTGAAGGATGAACTCATGAAATATTTAATAAAACAGACTGAACTATCCAGCAAGTTCTTATAATATTGAATCACAGGAAATGACATATAACCCCCCCCCCACTATTAAATCCAAAATTCTATTTATTTTTCACTTGTACTCAAAGCATGGAAGATAAACTTACGTTCGTTCTGTGCAAATGGTGGACCATCCTTATAGGGAAAAAATAATAATTTAGGAAGTATAGACTCTCCAATTAATTAATTTTGAAGCAGGCCTTTGGAATAGTGGCACAGCCTCGCTTCTCCCTGCTAGGGTTTCTTAAATCTTCAGGCCTGATTTCAGTAGTTTGGAATACATATATATTAGGGAGTGGCACTCAGTAAAATTCTGTAACTTTCATTGTTGCTTCAGAGTGTGACGATTTGGGGGATATTTTCCCACAAATTATTTTGCCATAATCACAATATTTTTTTAAGAGGCAGACTTTGCATATCAAATGACAACATAGAAGCTGGAGTAAAAATTACAAAAGTATTAATAAAGTTGCCTTTACTATGTGTGTCAGTACTGTGGAAACCAGAGAAATATCATGCAAGCAAAATGAAGGACAGTCCGTGAATATTTAAAATAAAAAAGGCCAAGAATTATTCTACATAATGTAAATAACATGTTATTGACTTTACCACTTCATGCTGAATTCTACTCCACACTATTTGTAATGGCAATTAATCTTCAAGGAGAGGGTTTTCTTCCTGATGTACCTGCATGTAGATTAGGGTGTCAAACTTAAGTTGTCACGGTGGCATTACATGACGTATCGTGACTAAACTGGGCGTGGGCAGTGCGTTATGCATCTGGCCCACGGCCCGTGAGTTTGACAGCCCTCATGTAGACTATTTAGTAGATTATTCCACCTTTATCACTTTATATTTACTCAAGGCAGCAAAGAAGCCAGCGCTTCATTTTTCTCCTCTTTTTTCCCCTCAACAACAACCCAGTCAGATGGGTTGACTGAGAATGACTGGCCTAAAGTCACCCAGCTGGCTTTCATGCCTAAGGTGGGACTAGAATTCATGGTCTCCTGGTTTGTAGGCCTTAAACACTACACCAAACTTTTGGTTCTTGGAATTGCTATTTCAGGGAGTGTGATGAGGAATTCTTGACTAAACTGAAAATAGGGAAGTCCACCCCCCCCCCTACTGTGTGAGGTCTTTCTCCTCTTTTCCCAGGCAAGTCTAATTCCCAGGAAGTGAAGTGATAATACACAATGATTGGAAAGGAGGGTTTGGTGTTTTTTTTTTTTTGGAGCAATTGGGATATAGAAGGTGGGAACTGATAAGTAAACACAGCTGTCGAGTTCCATTCCAAAACCATCATTTGCTAATAAGGACAGTGCTGGTATCTCCTGTGGGTGCAGTGGTGTCAGACCTCCTCCCATGTCTCCCTTCAACTTTCTGAAGGACCACACAGATTAATGGAATGTGCTGTTCCTGCTGGTCTCCTTGTTCTTTGTATAAAACAATAAATACAAGTCAATCGTTAAAAAGAAGGGAAGAAATTAACAAGTTGTACATCTATCTGCTGTTTTTATTTAGTTTCAGTATGAGGTGTTTTCCTTGATAAGGTGAGGCTTGTGTCAGGAAACTCAGCTGGAATAGATTCTTGTAGGCGAAAGATCTTTGCAGGAGAAGGCCATTTCGAGATGGACAAAAGTGCTATAGCTGAGCAATTGTTAGCATTTTAGGCAGGCTTTTGGTGTGGCACACCTGGCTTTAGGGATTGCTATCTCCCTAGAAAAATTCCTTCTAGGCCAGGGGTGTCAAACTCATGTCATCACGGCGTCGTCACATGATGTATCGGGATTTTTTTCCCCTTTGCTAAATCGGGCGTGGGCGTGGCCAGCGTGTAATGCATCTGGCCCACGGGCCAGGAGTTTGGCAGCCCTGTTCTAGGCGCTATTGCTATCATTACCATACAACTAGGAGTAAGTCACCTGAAGGATTCACAGCCTATTGGCAGAGAAAGAATTGGATTGGAATTAGAACGTTTTTACAGATGGGGACATTTCAAAACTAGAGAAAGGTTTTCATTTACTGAAAATTGCCAGCCACCAAAGGAGTCTGGCAATTTGAGGGAAAGACAAGACTTCTGGGTCAGGATAAGCAGCATGGTTTGGGAAAAATGTAAAGCCTGACTGGATGTTTCAGAAGCTCTAATACAGAGGTAGATGAAATAGTGGAAATGAAGTGGAAGCTTTCTTTTGAACAGTTCTGATCTTAAGACCAGTCTTTTATATATCTATTAGATTGCCTGGATGTTCCAGTCTCTGGGCCCATTCTTTACCAGTATCTTCAGTATTCTGTATTTAGCAAGTGTAATTCTACTTTCTTTCTTTTTTCTTTTTTAAATCAATTATAAAAATCCCTGGATTCTCAGAGTCACATCAGTTACGTCAAATAAGCATTTACTTTTTTAAATTCTGCCTTGACTACTTATGGGGTGAAGCAAGATGCATTTTGCACCGCTGGAATTTCTACACATACCCATACTGTTATCACTTTGCCATACACTGCTGCATCAGTTCAAGCATACTGTAATATATGTCAGAAAAGATGTGAATCATAGCAGATTCACAAATCTTTATGGTTTTTTTGTCCCTAAGAAAGACTGGATCTACTTTTGTGGGAAAGTTTGCAGCCCAGCCATTGCCCACTTCTTGGCATCCTGTGGTATCTTGATTAAATCAAACTGAATTTCTAGAAAACTTTAGCTTCCTAATTTTATTTCTTTTCTTTTTTTTCCCTGGCTCTTCCAGGTGAAAACAGATGAACGAATCATGAAGACAGAATATGGATTGTTGTTTCGGAAACTCTTTCGTCAGGATACTGGAACTTATTACTGCAGGTCTCAGGAGCAAGGCTTTACTCAGACTGTCACCAAAATCATTTTGGAAGTGGTTGAGAATGAGCAGCTGGAACAAATTTTCCAGAGGGAACAGGAGGAGGAGCTGCCTCGGCCTCCGTGCCGAGTCCCCAATCTCCGCCTGCTGCATGGACAGCGATTGTGGTTCAAAGACATCATACATCTGATCGGCTATGCCAATCTGCAGAGAGTGGAGGAGTACTGTGAGCGTGTGTGGTGCGGAGATCGGCCACTGTGGCATAAAGGCAAACTCCCAAAGAGCAAGAACCTGCTGGAGGGTGGCAAAAAGGGAAGAGGCAAGCAGCCTGGTGACCGAAACCGGGTGCCCAGGCAAGCGGTGGCCACTGAAGGGGACATGGAGGCAACTCTTGGCAAAAACACTCCATGAATTAAAATCCATCCTTCTAAAACTGCCCTTGCCCTGATGGAGGCCCCCTTGCCCTTGCTGAACAACTGAGCCTATTGACATCCCTTCCTTCTGTCAAAATGCTGGAGATTTAACAAATACCAAAGTATTGTTTTTGTGTCCCGTATTGACAACCCTGGTGTGAGTTGTATCACACCTCACACGGTATCAAGTCTAAGAAAGGGTAGAGGTGGCCTCACTCATGATTGTGTGTGTTAAATGCTGCCATTCCTAAAGCCTTATGTTCAGTACGGCTGAGCTACATGACTCAGAAAAGGAGACATAAGGATTTAACCGTGTGGCTGGGAGACTGTTACCAGCAGCCAAGGAACAGCAGTACCCATTCCTCTTACAAGACTGAGAAGAAACAGTGGGGAGCTGAAAAGAATGGATATATATATATAACCCTTGCTCTTCTGGAGGTGACAAGGATCAGCCGTAGATAACAAGCAACACAGTCACCCCTTTGAAGGAACAGATGCTGTTTCCAGTGACTTATTCTCCCTATGCTACATGCTGGGTATGGGTGTGACCATTGAACTGTGTGTATCATGGTACCTGGAGGTGCAAAGCAGATCATTACAGCACTTCCAGCCTCATGCTTTTCCTCGTTCTGCCCAACAGGTCAAAAGCAATGTCAATTCTTCAGGCATTATTCCGTATTTTTCAGAGTATAAGATGCACTCCCTCCTTAAAAGTGGCTGAAAATTTGGGTGCATCTTATAGTCCGAATGTAGCTTTTTCGAAGCTTTTTTTCAGCTCTAACGATGCGCTAGCGAGTGAAGCAATCTTCCGAGCTTTGCCTGCTCCCTCCGACTCTCAGCCCTGCTTTAGAAGCTTTATTTCAGCCCTAACGAGGCGCTAGCGAGTCAAATGATCTCCGTGCTTTGCCTGCTTTTCTCATTGCTTCTCTCTCCAAAGATCAGCTGTGCTTTAGAAGCTGTTTTTTATCCCCAAATAAGGGATAAAAAATGTGCGTGCACGCTCAGAACCAGCAGACTAATGTGCTGAAGCTGAGCAGATTAAGGATGCTAGCCAGATGAATACATGGTAGACAGATTTCTTTTTTCCTATTTTCCTCCCCAAAAACTAAGCTGCGTTTTATACTCCGAAAAATACGGTACATAGGAGTTTTAAAAAGGCCAGTTACGTTTACAATACGATTTGACCCTAATGTTCATTTATACCACATGTGTCCTTCTTATGCACTCTCTTTCAAATAACCAGTGGTTGGAGGCGAAACTAAACCTGACAAAGAAACAAGCAAACAAATAAACAGAAACCTCAGGGGTAACATGGACCAGACAAAAAAAAGTCTTATGCAGCTCCCGTTACCTCCCTAGATTTTTCTCAGACTGAGCAGAGATTTCAGTGGGGAAATGAATGGCAGAAAAGCAGCTAAGCTTTTGTTTTCCTGAGCTCCCCCCAACCACCTGCCACTGTAATTGTCCCCCCATTCCTCTGTCGAAAATCAGAGGAACCACTAGGCTAACCTTGGCCACATAACGTACTGTAGTTTGGTTTACCTATTCCTGAGCTTCCTATATTTTGCTTGCCAATATCTTATCTTGTCCAGGAAACTCTGTTACTGTTAAATACAGTTAAAAGTCTGGCTTCTCTGCACCACTTCTGATTATTTCATTGCTGGCCACTTTTTCTTGGGCAGTACAACCATCCACCACTGGAGGCCCACATGAGCATTTGCCCTAAATAAGCCTTGCCTTTCATGGACTTGTATTAATTCCTTTGTTTTAAAGATTTGACAGCTAAATGAAAACTAGCAGTTTGTTCAATAAATAAATTAAATCTTACATAGCAAGCTCCGACTTGGGGGTAATTTTACACCTGCTTCTTGACTTTCATCAGCATAATGAATAGTCAGGAGGAGTTGGCCCTGGGATTGAAATGTCTCGTTGAAACAGTTACCAGGTAGCGCACTGATTTCTTCCTAGTATTACTAATCCAGAGCAGGTGTTCTCAACCTTTTTTCTGTTGTTCACGGTCCCTCATGAATATAATTTATCACTGCAACCCCTTTCACAGATGCTGTTAGCTGTCTATTTTTACCATCTGCGTTGTTTATTAATCTGAATTGTATCATGTAATATAATTGTCGTTAAAATATTAAGACAAAGACATTGGTAGTAGCTACCAATATGGTTAATTCTATGCAGATGTAATTGCCAACAATTTTTCAAAAAATATACAATGCATAGCAGCGGCAGTAGAATGATGCCCCCTAGAAATATGGCATGGTCCCCCGATGGACCATGTTGAGAACAACTGATCTAGAGTGCAGAAAACAATGCTTAAGTTGCTGTAACTTAGTGAATTGACTAGAAGGTATAAACTAGGTGATCAATTGCTAGACAAACTGGCCAATGCCAGTGACCTGTTCCAGAGCAAATGGACATACTGATGCAGATCATTGTTCTTTTGGGATTCCTTCCAGATAATGACTTATTGCAGATGGTGCTGTTTTCGAAATGGGCCTCCCTTCCTCCAAGAAATATGAATTGTGGGATTTATATGCATATCAGAAGTAAAAACTGCAGGGGCACTGCACCCACCTTTCTATAAACGAAGTGAATATTTGAGTAATATTTGCCGTGCTTGCAAGTATGCAAAGACAGTATAATAGGAAAAAAAGAAGAATTCCTATAAAGCAGATCAGCAGGTGCAGTTGGGGCAACCTCTCAAGCTTCCACTCCAAATTTATCTTGAAACTCCTATCATCATCATCATCATCATTACCGTCATCCTGGCCTATTTTATGTCCAGGGGCCATTGGGTACATATGGAGACAATGAGCTCATCCTCATGTCTTTCTAACTAGAAGATGAAGATGCTAACAGTTGCCAACTGCTATTAGAAGATGTGTCCCCAATGATGGTGCTTTCATTTCATCCCCAGCCTGCTATGAAGGGAGCCTACATGTGTCTTTATTCCAATTTAAATGTAGAGATTTCAGTTTTCTGACTCCTCTTGCTATGGTCATGTTCTAGGACACTTCACTAACAATGCTGACTACATGGTCAAGCTGGGATGGGTCACTTTGGGCTCGTGAAGACACATTTAGTCACTTGGCACTGCCCTTCATGGCTGGCTTGGCCTGGCTTGGCCAGTTGGCTTCCATAGGGACAGCTTCCTCAATGAGCAAGAGAGGGGGTGAAAGCAAGGGTGCCTGGAACAACTTTAATCAGACAAGGAGAGGCTGATTTGAATGGGATATACAGAATGGATTTCTATTCTCTCCTAGTCTGCAAGACCTTTGTACCTCTGTCAGGTTTCCAGTGCTGAGTGCTGCTTTTCATATTAAAGTTCTTAAAAGTTTTTTTTTCTTGCAAAGCGATATTGTGGGGTGAGAGGGAGAAGCAGTATCGGAAGGACTTTTAAATATACTTTTCAGCTCCGGTAACAGCATGAGGGCCTTAATCTTCTGAAGAAGGTTTTTAGCTGGCTCCCTCAAACATTTGTTATTGATATGCCTGGAATAATATATATCCATATTAGTTACATTTTACCAACTGACCAGGGCTTCGTCTTTTCATTGCTGTTCAGGCAATGGCTGCAGCAGAGAAGACAAGCTACAGCAGCAGTGCTGGGAAGGTGGCAGGAGAAGTGGGGTGTTCATTGCTAGAACCGTATCTGCCCTTCTTATACAGGTGGTCCTCGACTTACAACAGTTCATTCAGTGATGGTTCAAAGTTACAACAGCACTGAAAAAAGTGACTTACAAGTGTTTTTCATAGTTACGACCTTTGCAGCATCTCCATGATCATGGGATCAAAATTCGGATGTTTGGCAACTGGTTCATATTTATGATAATTGCAGTGTCCCAAGGTCATGTGATCCCATTTTGAGACCAGACAAGCAAAGTCAATGGGGGAAGCCAGACTCGCTTAACAACCGAGTTACTAACCTATCAACTGCAGTGATTCACTTAACAACTGAGGCAAGAAAGGTCATAAAATGGGGCAAAACTCATAATAAACGTCTCACTTAACAACAGAAATTTTGGGCTCAATTGTGGTCTTACGTTGAGGAGTATCTGTATAGAAAAAGAGCAAAGGAGAGTGGGAGAACAAGAGAGACCTGGATTGTAACATTTGTCAAATGGGAAATGCTGATGCAGGATAGCTGTCCAGCCTCATAACAACTCTTTCAGGAAACAGTTTTGTCTGGACATCTGCCCACTAATAGCTTTAAATCCCCTGGGTTCCTTTGATTTGAGTGGCCCCTGGCACTGTAATTTCCAAGAATAGATAATAAAAATAAAACAGGAGGCTGTGTAGAGTTTCCAGTTTGTTTCCTCAAAGTTGCGATGGGATAGATTCTAAAGCAGAAGATCCCAACATGGGGGGACTGACCCAGCCCATGAGATAGGTCATTTCACTGAGGGAAGAAGGGTTTAAGAAGTTGGCACTTCAAAGCATTGGCTTGAAAGAAACAAAAGTGACTGCCAAGTAGAAACATATTATTTCTTGACAATCACAATATTGTTTAGCAGAGAGTTTTGATTCCATTTGTGGACTGACGGGCAGTTTCTGACAGATGGGTCAAGCCATCTATCAAAACTCACTTCCTTCCCAAGCTTCAGCCGTATCCCATGTTAGGGAGAGTGATTTTTCCCACCAACAGGAATTCCACCCATTGCTTTCCTTAATCTGTCCCACGTGAAAGCGATAAAAGTGCTACTTGCAATCCTTGTAGTTGACTGCCAGGGCAGCGCAATTCGTGCCTTCATGCTTTTGTGCTGACCCAAGGACTTGAGAAAAGCAGAAGGAATAGCCCTATGTCAGGAATGATTCCATGAAATGGTTGCCACGGTGATTCTGGCTGTTCCAATTTGTCCTCTACTCCCACCCACCATCTCCACAAGCCCCTCCTATCTACTCTGTTGCATGTGGTTGACTATTTCCTAACAGATGGGCACGTTTTCAAAGGAAGCATTGGGCTGCAACCATCAGTCGTTATTCCTGAGAATGCTTATAGAACCAACATATGGCTCACAGACATTCTTGGAAATAAAGATGACGCTATAGCTGTTCTTTTTCCTGTAATATGTCAGCATGAATATGTTTAATTAATAAACTGAACAAAAGGACAGGCAGATCAGAGAGCCTGGCTGGCACTAAGGCAATAATCCACTGGTATGCTTTCAACCCTTATTCTATTTGTGTACACTAACTTGTGGATTTCTCTTTTGCCAAAGTTGTGACATGTTCCTTAATCTCTAATATATAGCTCATTCAAAACAAGCCAAGAGTCATTTCAATGATCAAGCAAGCCTTTTGTAAACTTTAGGTTCCACTGCTAACATCTTGATTGACCAATACTACTCAACATTGTCCCATTAAAAAAGAATGGACTAAATGGAATGAACATGATTTGGAGGTTCATAAGAAGGTATCTATTGGGTCTAGAAGCAGAATGGACTCCCATGGTAGGTGGGATGGGCACGATTTTTATCACCACATGTAACCAGAAAAAAAGGAACAACAGAGGTACTTCATAAAGTCAGTTCATCTGTTTTTTCCTCTGAATCCATTTTTTATCATTGTTCACCATCAATGGAGTATCTATAATAAACAAATGATATATTAGATTCTCTTTGCACACACAGCAGTCCCTTTGTGTCACACAACTAGGGCTTCTTTGAGGTTCATGGGGTTTGTGCCTAATGTTCCGTGCAAAACACCAGTTCAAGGTATTTTCTGGGGTAATAATTGGGCAAACAGGGAAAGACTGGTTTGTGTTGCCCTCTCTTCCCCCTTCTCCCTAGTAGCTTCAGTTTAGCGTATCCAAGCAGTCCACCCATTTCTGATTCTCTGTATGGCTATCCTTCCCTCCTAATAGCTGCTGCTAATGTCCTTGGCTTTTTCTTCCTCATACTTCTTCTGAATAACTTCTAACCAGCAGAATCATGCTTTCGTCTATGTCCAGAACAAATCAACTTTGCCCCATTCTTTGTCTGAACAGAAATATCTGAGACAGTTTTTTTAGTTTAGATGCCAATCATCTGAAAACATTTATTAAATTCACAGAGCAATTCATTTATAACATTTGCATAACTAACCTAACTTCCAGTCTTTTTCCACACATCTATCTCCTTTAAATCCTCCATTGATGGAGGATTTCTGAATATATATATATATATATATATGATGAAGTGAGCTGCAGCTCATGAAAGTTCTTAATAAATACTTTTATTTGGAAAAAGAGCTGTCAGACTTCTTATTTTTTGCTACCATAGACAAATATGGCTGTCCTGCAATGTCTATGCCTATATAATTCCACTAAATATTTGCCAGAAAAGTGAAAATGCTTTGATTGAAATGAATCTTAAAAAGAATGAAGGAAGAAGGATAATTAAGAATAATTCATCCTGGAAATAAACTAAAAGAAAGTAGTCCAATTAATAATGAGTTCATCTTGTTCCAATCAAGCAATCTTGGATGGTTTATGAAATAGGAATAGGCTAAAAATGACACAAGTTATCATTCAACACTGTTGGAAGCCAACATATTGGAAAAGTCTAAAACAGATGAATACCTCTTATTGTAGGATAACACTGTCACTTTATATAATTAGTTCCAGAAATCATTCCCAACACTTGTTGGTAAAGCAAGAGTAATGGTGGTCTTTAAGTTATTCATGTATTGAAAAGATCTTTCAGAATCTGAACCCATTTTTCCTGCTGAAGATAAAAGTAAAGGTTCCCCTCACACATATGTGCTAGTCATTCCTGACTCTAGGGGGTGGTGCTCCTTTCTGTTTCAGAGCTGAAGAGCCAGCGCTGTCCGAAGACGTCTTCAT